CTCATGTTTTTCTTAACACAATTTCACCATCACTCATTAAAATCTACTACTCCTCATGTTTTGAAATTAAAAGCACACCATAAAAGATTAAGGAGCAAATAGTTAGATCAGAGAGTTAGAGTCAGAATGATAGAATCAGCTAATTACTGAACTTCTTAGCATGTAGAAGATTGATCTAGACTAGCTGTCTAGAGTTAGGGTCTTAGTATCATTCTTGACTTCTACTTCTGGGTTAGACCTGACTCTTTCTTCAGCATGAGCAATAGTAACAGCATTTGGTTTAGTCTTATGTGATAGGAGGTCAGAACATTGTATCGTTGATGTGATCCAAGAGTCGAGTTAGATGAAGGTGAGTGTGGGACGAGATTCGTTGATAATCGAAAGTGGACTGATAGCACGATCGAGGGCAAAACAAGTGAAACAAGCGATCGGATTGCTCGTTCAAGAAACCATTGATGGGATGATAGGACTCAAAATGGGACAAGTTTCGTGTTCGGATCGAAAGTCGAAGTGAAATGGATCAACGCGTTACAAGCGGCCGAAGAAGAGGTTGAGCCGCAAAACCATGCGGCCACACCCCTTTAATAGCATGCGGTCGCACAACCATAGTCAGGGAATTCGCTGGGGATTTCTGGGCTTATCATGTGACCGCATGGAAAACAACCATGCGGCTACATGGCTATAAAATTTGACGCGTTTTTAATTTTTTCACGAATTTCCTGATTTTGTTAGAATTTGATACCAATTAGACTTCTTTCCATATTTTGATGATTTTGCACGATTTTATCTTGGTTTTTTTGCTTTAGTATAAATACTCTTTCCATTATATTGTGTAGGGACTTTTGACAATTATTATTGAATTCAAGAGAGGTTTTTGCTTTCTTCCAATTTGTTCTTCATTGAACAATAATTTAGAATTTATCAAGGATAACTTCTTGTGACATTTAATACCGGATCATGGGTTCTTCAATTTGTAAGCAAGGGGTCCATTGCATCACCGTTATCTTTGGGCTCTTTGTTTCATCTTGTTGGGTTCATTCCAAACTGGTTAGCAATTGGAGTTCTTGTAGATTTCGTAGTCTAAGTTGTTACGGGGTTCGCATCAGTTGGTATCAAAGCTTTGATTCCAATTTAATCAGGTTTTATTTTAATTTTCTTGTTAGGTCGTAGCTTTCTTTGATTTTCAATTTCCTTCCTTGTTCTTGAGTCGTTCTTCAATTCATTCATTCAATCCGTATTTTTCGTTGGTAGTATAATCTCTTGTGTTAGTAAAAAAAAAAAGGTTACTGTACATCCGGATAAAAAAAAGTTACTATTCACGTCAAATTTTTTTTTTTTAATTATTTGCTTGATTTGCTACCAGCAAGTTCATATTCAAATTCCTAAATTTCAAAGTTCTCTTTCAATTCTTCAATTTCGTCAATTGTTCTGTTGAAATTTTATTGAGTCCGTTCAAATTTCATTCCATTCATTTTCAATCCTTTGCAAATTATTCTCTTGACTTACGTTTTGGGTTGAGTCTGCAAGTTTTAATCCGGTGAGTTCATTATTGTTCTTGGAAGCACTTGGTGGAAGCATTGAATGATAAAAGGTAGAGTGGTGAGCTTATTAGAGGGTAAAAGCCAATTGTGTGATTCCGAGTGAAAATTGGTGAGACAGAAATTGAGAGAATGTCTGAACAAGAAGGTTCCAGATCAAGCCGACACGGCTATCACAATAACGCATCAGAGGAGTTGATCCAGCGGTTTGAACTTGCTTTTGGGGTTGTTAGAGATAGGCTGGATCAACAGGATGCTTGGAGGCTAAGCAGGAAGCTTGGATGACGAGGATGGATACATCGGTGGCTAATCTTAGTAGGGAGCCGTGGGTGGAAGTATCTAATGCCAGGAGGCTGGGTAGGCAGGAGCATAGGATGGAACGGGAAGCATTTGATCTGGGCAGTGAATGGGATGATAAGGAGTATGGAGAAATGTGAATGGGATGGATGAGGGATAGAGGTGGTAGGCCTGAACGACGGGTTAGGAATAATCACGGAGATGAGGCGTTTGGAAACATGGGCAATATCAAAATGTCCATTCCACAATTTAAGGGGAGGAGTGACTCAGAGGCGTACTTGGAGTGGGAAAGAAAGGTGAAATAATTTTTGAGTGCTATAATTATTCGGAGGAAAATAAGGTGAAGTTAGCGGTGTTAGAGTTCATTGATTACGCAATAACCTGGTGGGATCAAGTGGTTACTACACAGCAACGGTGTGGGGGAAGACTAATTAGTATTTGAGAGGATTTGAAGGCGTTGATGAGGAAGTGGTTCGTTCTTAACCACTACTATAGGAAGATGCATCAGAAGTTGCAGAGCCTGTATCAAGGGTTGAGGAGCGTAGATGACTATCACAAGGAAATGGAAATACTCATGATCGGGGCAAATATGGTGGAGAGCATTACGTGGAATTGGAGGACATGTTGCATGTAGCCATGAAGGTGGAGAAATAACTAAAGAGAACGGGGACTGCGAGGCAGTTGGTGAATACTTCATCTTCTAACCCAAACTGGAAGTTGAAGTGGGATGGTAATAATAAGGGGGGTGAAGCAGTAACCAAAGGAAGAAGTGAGTGGCAGAAGGGGAAAGAAGAAAGTGCTAGTAGGACAGCGTTAAAATCGGAGCCACAACCATTAAGAAGCTAGGACATCAAGTGTTTCAGGTGTTTGGGGTCGGGACACATTGCATCTCAGTGTCCTAACAAACGAACCATGGTGCTGCGGGACAATAGAGAGGTGGTAAGTGAGAGCGAAGGAGAGTATGATGACATGCCGACGTTAGAGGATATTGGTGGTGAAGATGAGATGGAATTTGTCGTTGGGGAGCTGCTGGTCTCGAGGCGAGCACTTAACACTCAAGTTAAGACAGATGATTCGGAGTAGCAACGGGAGAACATGTTCTACACTTGGTGCCACGTCCAGATCAGGTATGTAGTTTGATTATTGATGGTGGGTGTTGCACAAATGTAGCTTGCACAACTTTAGTTGAGAAATTGGGTTTAGCATTATTGAGACACCCTAGGCCTTATAAATTACAATGGTTGAATGAGAGAGGGGAATTTAGGATAAATAAGCGAGTGTTAATTAATTTCTCAATTGTGAGATATAGTGACAAGGTTGTATGTGATGTGGTGCCTATGCAAGCGGGTCATATTCTACTGGGGAGACCCTGACAATTTGATAGGAAGGTTACATATGATGGGTATAGGAATCTATATAGCTTTGTCAAGGATGGGAGGTCCATTACTCTTGCGCTATTAACACCGGCTTAGGTGTATGAAGACCAAATAAAACTGAGAAATGAGGAAGAAAGACGAGCGAGAGAATCTACAAAAAGGAGAGAAGATAGTGAGCCTTTGAGTAAAAGAGAAAATAGTGAGGTGGTCGAGAAAGGGGGAAAAAGAGAGAGGCCACATGAGAGGATAGATAAAAAGTCAGTTGAGCGGAGAGAAAAAGAGTCAGTTGAGTGAATAGAAAAGAGTCAGTTGAATGGAGAGAAAAGCCAAAAGTGAACTTCTTTGTGAGGAGAAGTGAATTAAAAAAAAGGCTTTAAGTGATAAGAGACAAGTGTTGTTGTTAGTGTACAAGGAGTCTCTCCTCTACCTTGAGGAGTCTAACACCTCCCTCCTTAGCGCGGTTAAGTCTTTGTTACAGGATTTCGAAGATGTGTTTCTGGAGAAGGTGCCAAGTGGATTGCCACCAATTCGAGGAATCGAGCACCAAATCGACTTCATACCCGGAGCTGTCATTCCAAACTGACCAGCTTACCGAAACAATCCCGAGGAGACGAAGGAGCTTCAGAGGCAAGTGGAGGAGTTGATGAGTAAAGGTTACGTGAGGGAGAGCATGAGCCCGTGTGCTGTGCTTGTTCTATTGGTGCCAAAGAAGGATGGGACTTGGTGAATGTTCGTGGACTGCAGATCTATCAACAACATTACGGTAAAGTATCGTCACTCTATACCTAGGCTAGATGATATGCTTAATGAATTGCATGGTGCTTGTATTTTTAGTAAAATTAATCTTAAGAGTAGGTACCAACAAATTCGAATGCGGGAAGGTGATGAATGAAAAATGACATTTAAAACTAAACATGAGTTATATGAGTGGTTGGTTATGCCATTTGGTCTCACAAATGCACCGAGCACATTTATGCGTTTAATGAATAACGTTTTACGTGATTTTATAGGAAAATTTGTTGTAGTTTACTTTGATGACATTTTAATCTATAGCAAAGACTTAGGTGAGTATTTAGAACATTTAAAGTGTGTGCTTGTTGTGTTAAGAAAGGAAAAATTGTATGCTAATTTTAAAAAACGCACGTTTTGCATGGATAGAATTGTTTTCCTAGGATTTGTTGTTAGTGTTAATGTGGTAGAAGTGGATGAAGAAAAGATTAAAGCTATTAAAGAATGGCAAACACTTAAAAGTATCACTGAGGTTAGGAGCTTCCATTGTTTGGCTAGTTTTTATAGGCGGTTTGTGAGAGACTTTAGCACAATCACGACACCATTAACTGAAATCATTAAGAAAAGTGTAGGTTTTCACTGGGGGAAAACACAAGAACATGTATTTAACACCATTAAGGATAAATTGTGTAAAGCACCTATTTTGACATTACCTAACTTTGATAAAACGTTCGAAATTGAGTGTGATGCATCAGGGATAGGTATTAGAGTAGTGTTAATGCAGGAAAGGAGACCTATTGTTTACTTTAGCGAGAAGTTGAGTGGAGTTGCATTGAACTACCCAGTGTATGACAAGGAGCTGTATTCCCTTGTTCGGGTATTGGAGACTTGGCAGCATTACTTGTGGCCTAAGGAATTCGTGATACACACCGATCACAAGTCCCTAAAGCACTTACAGGGTTAAGATCATGCGAGGTGGATGGAGTTCATAGAGACGTCTCCATACATCATCAGATATAAGCGAGGTAATGAAAATGTAGTTGCAGATACTTTGTCATGAATGTATGTACTTCTTAACTCTTTAAGTGCGAAATTACTTGGTTTGGAGCATATTAAGAGCATGTATAAAAATGACATTGATTTCTCAAACATTTATAATTCATGTGCTAAAATACCTGTTGATAAATTTTATAGACATGAAAGATATTTGTTTAGGGAAGATAGGTTGTGCATTTCAAATTATTCAATGCGTGAATCATTGGTAAGGGAAGCACATAGTGGGGGTCTAATGCGTCATTTTAGGATTCAAAAGACTTTAGTCATGTTAGGAAAACACTTTTATTGGCCTAAAATGCGTAGTGACGTAGAACGAATTTGTGAGAAGTGCATAACTTGTAAACAAGCTAAATAAATTTTTTTACCCCATGGCTTATATACACCTTTATCTGTGCCTAGTGAACCTTCGGTGGATATTTTTATGGATTTCATGTTGGGGTTACCTAGGACAAAGAAAGGTTGGGATTCTATCTTTGTAGTGGTTGATATGTTTAGTAAAATAGCACACTTCATATTATATCACAAAACCGATGACGCCACCAACATTACTGATTTATTCTTTAGGGAGATATTACATTTGCATGGAGTTCCTAAGAGTATTGTGTCGGACCCAGATGTTAATTTTTTTAGTCATTTCTGACGTGTTTAGTGGAATAAGTTAGGAAATAAATTGTTATTTTCTACAATTTGTCACCCACAAATGGATGGTCAAACTGAACTTAAGAAATTGGGAAGATTGCTTGCCATTTATTGAGTTTGCTTATAATCGTACTGTACATTCGACTACTTCTTATTCACCGTTTGAAATTGTGTATGGATTTAATCCACTAACTCCATTGGATTTATTTTCTTTGCCCGTGAATGAACAATGTAGCATGGATGGTAAGAGGAAAGCTGAGATGGTGAAGGCACTTCATGAGAAGGTCCGTACACAAATTGAAGATAAGAGCAAGCTCATCGCATCAAAGGCAAACAAAGGGCGGAAGCGTGTGTTTGAACCCAGAGATTGGGTGTGGGTGCATTTCAGGAAGGAACATTTTCTGAAGCAGCGAAAGTCCATATTGCAATTGCGGGGAGATGACCCTTTCCAAATCACTGAGAAGATCAACGATAATGCCTACAAAGTGGACTTGCCAGGTGAGTATAATGTATTGGCTATATTTAACGTTGCTGATCTTTCCCTTTTCGATGCAGGTGTAGATTTGAGGACGAATCCTTTTGAAGAGGGAGGGGGTGATGTGATCTAAGAGCTGAGCTAGATGAAGGCGAGTGTGGGATGAGATCCGTCGATAATCGAAAGCGGGCCAATGACACGATCGAGAGCAAAGCAAGTGAAACATGCGATGAGATTGCTTGTTCAAGAAACCATTGATGGAACGATGTTCAGGACTCAAAATGGAACAACTTTCGTATTCGGGTCGAAAGTCGAAGTGAAATGGATCAATGCGTTAGAAGCGACCGAAAAAGAAGCTGAATTGCAAAACCATGCGGCCACACCCCTTTAATGGCTTGCGATCACACAACCATAGTCAGGGAATTCACTGAGGATTTCTGGGTCTATCATGCAACCGCATGGTCTGCATGGTTATAAAATTTGACATGTTTTTAATTTTTCCACGAATTTCCTAATTTTGTTAGAATTTGATACCAATTAGACTTTTTTCCATATTTTGATGATTTTGCACGATTTTAGCTAGGTTTTTTAGCTTTAGTATAAATACTCTTTCCATTACATTGTGTAGGGACTTTTGGCAATTATTATTGAATTCAAGAGAGGCTTTTGCTTTCTTTCAATTTGTTCTTCTTTAAACAATAATTTAGAACTTATCAATGATAATTCCTTGTGGCGTTTAACACCGAATCGTGGGTTCTTCAATTTGTAAGCAAGGGGTCCATTGCATCACTGTTATCTTTGGGTTCTTCGTTTCATCTTGTTGGGTTCATTCCAAACTGGTTATCAATTGGCGTTCTTGGGTTCCGTATCAATCTAGTTGTGGGTTTAGTAGTTTAAGTTGCTACGGGATTCGCATCAACATTTCATTGTCTTCCTCTAATGGGTCAAAACCTCTAGTGGCTGGCTTAGGTCCTCAGAATTTGGTACTGGCAGTTTTGTCTAATTGTTACTCCCTGAATATGCAATACAATTTTCCTGATTATTCCGATCATCTTCAATCTATTCTTTCAGAATATGAATCTCAGGTTCCTTTAAATAAGAAGAGTAATCATCAGTATTGTCAATGTTAAAATTAATGGACCCAACAATAGTTTGAGTCCTTATGCTATAAACTCTACAAGGTTGACTAGTTTTTGACTAGTCAATGAACACTCAATTATCACTCTTAGGCTCAAATTTTTCCAAATGTTCCCTATGATTTAACACATAATACTTTGCCACCAAAGGTAAAAAAGTACTTTAGATTTGATTTTCCACCTTTCCGGATTTCATAAAGTGTTAGTGAGGTACCAATTCTTAATGATACACAGTCTAAAAAGCAAGTAGCATTTACAGCTTATGCTCATAATATAACGGAAGTTTTTTACCATTCAACGTCACCCTAGACATCTTTTGTAAAGATATATTCTTCAGCACACCTTTTTGTTCAAGGGTTTGAGGAGTAGAAAACTCATGAAAAATACCATATTCTTCACAGAATCTAGAAACATTAGTATTTTAAATTTCCTACCATGATCATTCTTAATTTTTACAATTTTAGTCACTTCAATGTGTTTTTCAGTGGTCAATTTCTGAAAT